TTGGGGAGGCTTTTCCATTCCTCTGGGAATGAGCGCTTCCATGATTTCTTGCGATAAAGGACCACGGGGATCGTCTTCGTCGCTCCTGTAGGGAAAGTGGGAAGGAGATCGGTTATAGTGGCGGTCGTAGTGATGTCCTTGGCCTCGGGGATGATCCCTTGGTCGAGAATGCACTTCTGCGTTTCATATAATAGCTTCAGAACCTTATCCTTCAAATTAAGCAATAACGGGTTGAGATCTGTGATTTAATTGTATGTGTGGGTGTTTCTTTTATTTTCGTGGTAGACTTTGATCAAGCGATTGAAGTTCTATAAAAGGTTCTTTACCCTAGAGTTTAAATTATGGAGTTCTTATTTTTTTATACTTGATCGTACTTGACCAGAATGGATCGTCAAGGCCTGCGAGTTGTGAGTTGAGCATCAACTGGAAGTGAGCTAGGGGGAGGTACCTTCAAGACACTTTGATGCCAAAGTAAGGTTCAGAGCAGTGTGAGCAAGTATGAGAGTGAGTATGAAAGAACGAATATCAGACCCTCTCAAGAGAGAGAGTATTTATAGCCCCCAACACTGGGTCAAGGTCCCCATCGTTGGGCTGAGTAAGCAGGCCTAACACAGAGACTGCCAGATTCTACGTGCGTAGTGGCACGTGGTCCCCAACCTAAATGGATTTTCCCAAATAGTCAGGAGGATGTAGATGTGGTCTTTTCAGGACCAAGAAGACTCAGTGATATCCGGGAGTGTGGTGAGTCAACCCTACGACTGGGTCAACAATGTCGTCGTATTCCTTCAGTTGGGGAGGCTTTTCCATTCCTTTGGGAATGAGCGCTTCCATGATTTCTTGCGATAAAGGACCACGGGGATCGTATTCGTCGCTCCTGTAGGGAAAGTGGGAAGGAGATCGGTTGTAGTGGCGGTCGTAGTGATGTCCTTGGCCTCGGGGATGATCCCTTGGTCGAGAATGCACTTCTGCGTTTCCCATGTTTCAGTTTTCAGGAGATCATTGTTCCCTGCGCCGGGGGGGGGGGGGGGGAGGCCGCGTCTCCCGGTAGTCTCGAGCATAATTCTCTCTAGCGCAGGGCGTGGTTAGTCCGTCAGGGAGAGAGGCTTCGCGACCTCTCCCGTTTGTGTCTCTCTGCAGCGGAGATTGAAGACGGTCTTCGTACCGACAAAGAGGTGGAGTGTCAGGTGTTCTATATATTCGGGGGGCTCGACGAGAGTCATCAAGCACTCTTAATCGCTCACCTTACGAGAAGATCATGTAATTCGTCTGGTTAATGGCCGCAATCAGGGCCTTGGTTGTGGCATCAGCGCCCGGAGGGACGGGGACCTCCTGGAAAACGTTTGGCTCGTAGTTCTGGGACGGATGAGTGCCCTCGTGTGGTCGAGAGCGTGATGGGAAAGAGGTGGTCATGCCATCTCTGTAATTCTGCATGAGACCGGCCATGTCGCCGTCGTTCCCGTTGTTGTTGTTATTGTTGCCCATGTTGTCGACGATGTTGTTGGGGTCGGCGAGATGGGTGTCAAGATTGTTGTTGGAAGTTGGGTCGGTCATGACAATAAAAAAAGTTTGAAGAATTGCTTTAGTCTTGAGTTAATGAAAGACGAGGAAGCTTGTTTCCCACAGACAGTGTCACTGATCGTACCTGACCAGAATGGATCATCAAGGCCCGCGAGTTATGAGTTGAGCAACAACTGGAAGTGAGTTGGAATGGGGGTACCTGCAAGACACTCTGATGCCAAAGTAAGGTTCAGAGTAGTGCGAGTAAATATGAGAGTGAGTATGAAAGAAAGAATACTTAACCCTCTCAAGAGAGAGGGTATTTATAGTCCCCAGCGCTGGGCCAAGGTCCCCATCGTTGGGCTGAGTAAGCAGGCCCAACACAGAGACTGCCCGATTCTACGTGCGTAGTGGAACCAACATGTGGTCCTCAACATAGATGAATTCTCCCGAATAGTCAAGAGGATGTGGATACAGTTTTTTCGAGACCAAGAAGACTCTGTGATACCTAGGAGAGTGGTGAGTCAACCCTACGAGGGTGTTCGCGACGCCTTGCGTCGTCATGGTCCCTCCCCGACAGTTGTGGAGTTGTCCAGGGGACTTGTCTTATCTTGGTCGACGAGAGGAGTGGAGGATGCTCGTGAGGTCCTCCTGACCGGCGACAAGCCTCCTCTTGATTCCCGAACTTTTCCCCGTACGGCAAAGTCGGGCTTCCCACAGATGAGGTTACTGCCCGACATAATTGAGGACAAGTTCGATTAACAGGCCTACTCGAGAAGCATAATTAGATTAGACCCAGTATGAAATTGGGCCAAGTGCAACCCAATCCAAAACAATACCCATATACTTTTTGTATTTTTTTTTTGTCATGCTTATCTCGCTTCTAAATGCTTTTTCAAATATTTTTGTTTGTAAAATACTATTCTTACACCAATAGTTACATCTACACCATATTTCACTATTTACCAATATGATGAATAGTAAAATATAATAATAAAATAATATTTTTTAAAATAAAAAAATTATATTCTAAATATTTCGATGGTTACTTTCTGAACGAAGTAAAAGTTATAAGTTATGACAATATATTTACATGTTTTAAGTATACATGTTTTAAGGTGGTAATTTACTTTATTAATTTTTGTTACTTTTAGTATACATATATACATGTTTAATATAGTATACATATATACATGTTTAATATGTGGTTACTCTTCCTCTTCTAATGATAATAGACTTTGGATATTCGAAACCACACTATTTGATTGATACACCGAAAACATTTACTTTTCCTAAAGATAAGCACTAGAAAAATTATTATTATATTTAGTAATGTAAGTCACAATGAGCATTACCATTACCGTCTATAGACTATTGTCAATGACCATTACCATTACTATCTATAGACTATTGTGATATACCGTGGATTTTCGACTGATGAAGTTTGAAGTTACCGAGGAGCATTAATAGACCATTATGAAGTGCTATTAACTTCTCTGATCAGATTTATTTTAACATCATTCAAATATCATTAAATGTAAAGATTATATATATATATATATATATATATATATATATATATATATATATATATAAAGAAGAATCCAACTCAAACTATGCATGGTAATCATTGAACAATCTTTACATTTAAGAATACTTGAATGAGCTGTAAAACAATACTTCTCAAAATCTAAACACAAAAATAAATTTTAAGCACATTAAAAGAGAAGTCAATAGCACTTCAGTAACAACGGTCCTCGATAACTTCAATATCAACACTCACATACAACGGAAGATAAAATGGTTGCTTCAAAACGTCATCTTGTTACACCACAAAATGCTCATTCTAACTTACATAACTTAGATTACTAAATATAAATAACAAAAATCAATAAAGTAAATTATCACATTATATATATATATATATATATATATATATATATATATATATATATATATATATATATATATATATATATATATATATATATATATATATTTTAATGTGTAGTTACTCTTCCAATGATATATAGACTCGAAACCACACTTATTTGATAGATGCACCGAAAACATTCACTTTTCCCAAAGATTTTGATGGGAAGTTACAAAACATATTTATTGTGATATAGCATGGATTTTCGACTGGTGAAGTTTAAAGTTACCGAGAGCATTGATAGACCATTATGAAGTGTTATTGACTTCGAAGAATCCAACATCAAACTATGCATGGTAATCATTGAACAATCTTGTGAAAGCATAGAAACCACATTCTTTCAGGACACTCTTCAAAAATACTTGTAGGAAAAAATTTAGTACCCGGTTATCATCCATCAGATACCATTTTCCATTGATGGATACCATTTTCCATTGGCAAGACAAAGGTAGCATAGATAATAGCCAACATTAGCCAAAAATTCATGATGCACCACAACATGTATAGACGATAATGCTCATTCTAACTTAAATAACAGAGTGAATGATCTCTGTGCATCAATCAAAGAAATGTGGTTTCAAATATCCAAACTTAAGTGAGTGAAAATCTCTTGTTTTCTTTTTATTTTTTTAATTATGTTGTTTTTTATCATAAACATATGTTTAACAGACTTTTTGAACGAACGATTTTGAGGTGGAAAACAAGCTAATGCTCACGAATTCCTAGTTTTTTTGTCTTGTTTAGTAGTCAAATATAGTTATTTGTGGATGAAGTTTTCGGTGGTTACTTTCTGAATGAGGTAAAAGTTATAAATTATGGCAATATGTTTATATGTTTATAATGTAGTAATTTATTTACTTTATTGATTTTTGTTATTTTCAGTATATAGTATATATGTTTTATATATGGTTACTCTTTCAATCATAAAGATGTAAACATATTATAAACATATTACATGTTTTATAGTATTATTGTTTTATATATGGTTACCACATTATAAACATGTAAACATATTGCCATCATTTATAACTTTTACCTCATTCAGAAAGTAACCACCGAAAACTTCATCCACAAATAACTATATTCGACTACTAAACATGAAGCGAGGCAAAAAACTAGGAATTCGTGAGCATCAACTTGTTTTTCAAGTCAAAATCGTTCAAAAAGTCTGTTAAACATATATTTATGATCAAAAACAACATAATTAAAAAAACAAAAAGAAAACAAGAGAAAGAAGAATACAATCAAGATTGGTAGAAAACTGGGAAGGAACAATTGTGTTTCGATCAGGAAGAAATGCAGCATTGTTGTGGGCACGCATAGCACATATCACACAGAACCCATCAACTTGGCCTGAAAATCAAAAATCACAAACCATAGAAGTGTATGTCATTATGTGTGCAAGGGCTCATACAAAACTAAGTAATCTCATAAGTATCATTGAAATCCAAAAGAGGCGTAAATGAGAACTATAAACTTTTCTTACAAGGTTGTGATCCATAACCTAAGTCTAATGAAAAGCCTCTCAAAGTGAGTGAGTGCTTGTAATATGGCGGCCATATAACATGTTTCATTCATATTCCATAGACCAGCACCCTGTAAGAAACAAACAAAACAAGAAATTATTTAAGGTTATGAAACAAAACAAGAAATTATTTAAGGTTATGAAACAAAACAAGAAATTATTTAAGGTTACCAAACAAAACAACAAAAAGCATCAAGAAATTTGGGTTAACATAAAGATTAATAATAGCATGAATAACAAGAATCAACCACGAGTAGAATTTTGTGGGAATGAAATAGAAGGTTGTGAAGAATTTTGTGGGAATGAAATAGAAGGTTGTGAAGTTTGAGATCGGATGCAATGCTGTCGGTTAGTTGCCATCTCAATGGAAGTTTGAGGGTCAGAGGATGCAATGTTGTCGGTTCGATAACAGTTGCCATCTCAATGGAAGTTTGAGGGTCAGAGGATGCAATGTTGTCGGTTCGAGTTGTCACAACAGGTTGTGTCTCTGGAAGAAGATGCAAAGAGGGTGGTGGTGGGTCTGTTTCAACAGATGTCTCAATGAAGAGAGATTGGGGTTCTGTCTTCGAAATTTGCTTTTTTCTATGAGATGGTTTTTTACAATATGCTTAGCATAAAGCTTCACTAAGTGAAGTAGGAGAAATTTCAAATTTTGGTTTTTTTTTCTTCTATGAGATGGCCATAAAGCTAACGAAAAAACCTAAACTTAAAGCTTTCATAAAATGAACAAGTGAAAAACATGAATCAAGAGGAATGATACCTTGAAGCTCGAAGCTCCGAAGCTCAATTGTTGATACCATGATGCTGAGTCGTGCGACCCTTGAGCAGAAGAATGATACCATGAAGCTTAATTTGTAGGATGGAGAAAGGGGAGGAAAAACTTGCGCCGATTTAGGGATTTGAAAAATGGTGTATATGTATGGTAATGTAAATGGATATATGAGGGGAGTATGCTGCAACACGTCGTGGCTTATTGTCGCCGTAGGTAATGCGTCGAGTTTCATAACGAGTCTTTACACAGATCTCGTATGGAAGCATCCTTATAAAAGGATTTGAAAACCCTAATGGGCTTTCCAATGGGCTTTGAGCTGAATTTTTTTATTCCATATCCCTAAATGTTTTTCACATATATTTATTGGAGAAAACTCATCTGCTACAGAACTTGTTATATTCTCTTGTGTTTATTTTTTTTTTGTCCCTATAAAATTTGTTGAAGATGTGTCGGATAATTTTATATAAAGTTGTTATTCGGTGACATCCATTATGTTATGGATTACTTATCATTAAGTAAGTAAGTTTTTCTTAAAAAAATTAACTTTTTTATGATACACGGATATGGAAATCCTTTTATATATACACGATAAAAATTATATATGCGTAGATGTCACTAATGCTACATAAAAATTTGATACACAATAAGAGGTGATAAATTAGACTAAAAAGGTTGAAATCAGAAATAAAGTATTTGTTATCATCGCTCATTCAGATACTAAAACAAACAAAAAAAGAGAAACAACAAAATAATATTTGATTATAATAAATGTGGAAAATAGAAAAGAAAACCGATAGTGGAACACAAAGTGCCACTAAATGCGGTTGTACATTCAAAATCATATCAACGCCGTCAAAAAATTATTCTGGATAAAAAATTAATATAAAATATAGATTTCGTAACCTGATTTACCTTATAAATTAGAAGTTCATTCTTTTATAATTAAAAAAGTTGAATAAATAAGTTTAAAATGCTAATATAATTTTTGTGAATTTATTCTATATTTATATTCATGAAATTATTATAATTGGCAATATACATAGTATATTTATATTCTTGAAATTGTTCATAATTTCATCCTTACTATTTATTATCAAGTTAACATAATATATTTTTTTAAGTTTAAACATTGGACATAACCGTTAATATATTGTCAATGTTCATGAACATCTTAACCGTATATAAATAAACATCACACAAATTTATATGTATAATATATTAAATCCATGATAGTGTATATATTACAAACACCTAATTTTAATATAAGAATCTCATCGAACTTAGCATTAAAACCATAATTTAAAATACATTCAACAACAATTTTAGCTGTTTGAAAAACTAACCAAAGGTATTTTATTTTATTTTTGGTATTATAACCAAATGTATTTCAAAAAAATTTATAATCTACTGTGGAATTACCAAAACACGACCAATTATTTAAAACTTCCTAAATTAAACATCCTTGTAAAGAAAGTCGGTCAAAACAATTTCAAATTCATTAAATCCTCTAATTGTTTTTAATTATTTAGTTTAATCTTTACTTTCTTGATTGGCTTGGGTCTCGAGAATTGAGTGGCTCCAAATAAAACCAACCATACTTTGAAATAGCAAACTTCAAAGTAGTTCTTACAATAACACAAAGAGCTTTCTAATGGCAATCCAAAAATAAAATAAGTAAAATCTAATAATAATATTTTTTTAATGTTAATATTTAGTTTACACCGTATAACATATACTTGTTTAAGTTTGCATAATTCATTTAATGATATACATTTAAAAATTATAATGTAAAATTATCCTCATTAATGCATGAACAGATCCTAGATTGTTACACAAGAAATAACAGTAGAATAGAGCAGCCAAGCTGCATACATGTGGTGATGCAAATTAAGAGAGAAAAGAAATGAAGTTTTTTCATACCTTCAAACGAATATTTTGAGCAAGATGATGGTTGATATTATCCAACCTCTCTATTATTTGGTTAAGTGTTGGTCGTATGTAGGGTTCTTCATCCCAACGAATCTAATTCCATAACTGGAAACAACTTCAAAATTGAAAATGAAACCATTATAAGAGTAATAACAAAAAAGCTATGGTATGGTAGCAGCAAGAATTGAAATGAAGTATTTACATATTAAATAAGATCTAAAGGAGCACCAGATTCTAAAAAAGAAAGGATTTTCGTGGAGCATCAGGCAACAGAAAAAATTAAATGAGATCTAGAGGATCATCAAATTCTAAAAAATAAAGAGTTCCGAATAATCATAAGAAAAAATTAAGGGAGATCCGAAGGATCATTAGATTCTCAAAAATAATAGGTTATACAGTAGCATCAGAACAAATTAAATGAGATCATGTTATCTCAAATTTTTGACACAAGCCTCAAGGTTGGTAGTTGTAATCAAAGTTGTCCAAGTTAGATCACAAGTTTTTTAACAACTCTCCCGTCGAAGGACAATAATTATTCTGGTCCAAGATTCCTCAATGAGGACTAAAGACACGTCTGGGACTTGATGAAATGTCAAGTATCCAATAAATCGTCCAACAACTCTGTCGAAGGGACTCAAAATGGATAAGATCAAATGGTTACTTGATAACATGTGTAAAGCTTATGAAGACAAAGATTGCATGGTGTTGGAAACGTGGCATGATTGTTAAACGATGGCAACTTATCTAGAGGGTGATGAATAGATACCCGATTAAAAATGAGTTTAAAAACCTGTTTTCAAAACACGTTAAAGCAATGACTAGCGGAATTCATGTCTTAGATCGAAGTAGTCCAAAAATGAACTCATTATTGGAGCTCAGATATGCGTTCAATCAATTATAATTTGAGTAGTAATGATAAGCAAGTAAAACAATAAATTCTCAATCAATGGTTTGATTACAACAAACAACTAACATATTTCCAATGAAATTAATGGTAAAGCTTATTAAGACAATTTATCGAACACTTATTGTGCACTTTGATTTTTCATAATTTCCTTTGAACTTTAATGGTATTGAAACCTCTTACAATCAAAGGGATTATAAGATTATCCAAAAAGTGATTTAAACACTCAAAAGATCTTTCTATTATAATTAATTTTCACAATCAAACGTTTAATAAATTACTAATGAAAATATAAGAGAGAGAGAGAGAGAGAGAGAGAGAGAGAGAGAGAGAGAGAGAGAGAGAACGACACAAGGATTTGTTAAGGAATTTTTCCAATCGTACTTGTTATGAATACGTCTCCTCCCAATTCCTTTTTAGAATTGAGATAAATTTCTTACTATCGCAAAAGATTTGTTTACAAAAGAAATGTTGCAATCCAATCCTACAAACCCTATCGTTGATGATGATCCAACAAAATTCTCTTTGATTGATGGTGTTGTACCCCAAAATTTGCCCTCTCAATTCTCAAGGCTTTTCTTACAAGGATTTCAAGGTTCAAGCTTAAAGAAATGCATTGGGATTTTCCAATACCAAAAGGAAACTGTCAAAAAGGGGGGAAACAGATAAAATTAATATTTTGGCAAATTTGGATAAAAATAAGTGTTTTTCGATTCAGCTATTTCGATTGACTCTTGGTCTCCTTCGATTGCTCAAAATGGCTACTAGCGTGCCTCTTTCGAATCTGGATATTTTGCCTCCTGCATGCCTCTTTCGAATCTGGACTTTTTGCCTCATGTATGCCTCTTTCGAATCTGGACATTTTGTCTCATGTATGCCTCTTTCGAATCTGGACAAGATTGCTGCCTGCATGCTTGCTTTGTAGGGACAAGTTTCGATGGGACAAGGTAACCATCTTTGTGCATCCTTCGAATCCACATGCTTCGATTGGGCAATATGCTTCCTTCGAGCATGAGCTTTTGATTGGGCAATATGCTTCCTTCGAGCATGAGCTTTCGATTGGGTAATAGCTTCCTTCGAAGTTAGCTTGTTTCGACCACAAGCTTTGACTGAGGCAAAGGCTTCCTTCAAACAGGTGTGCTTCGACCTCACTCTTGCATTTGACTCAAGACCAAATCTCGTTTGCCAGGCTATGTTGCATCCAGATCTTTACATAGTCAGAAGTTTGTACAAAGGTTTTAAACTTTGTCTTTTAGATACTACTATTCTGAGTTAAAGGCTACATACTTTTTCGTCAAACAGAGAGTACTTTATCACAAAAGCAGCTGTCAACCTGAATTTGGTCTAAGCACAAGCAACGTCAGAGGCCTCAGTCACATCTTCTGCACCCCAACTGCCAGCAGGCCCCCCACATGTACTGTCACGCCACATTATTTTATTATTCTTTGCAAGGCTGGCTATGGGCGAACATGTCCATTTTTTCTCTATAAACACAGGAACTTTTGCAAAGCTAAGGAGGATCTTTTGGACCAGTAGAACGAATCTCCCAAAGTTTCTCAAACACAGAAAAATTCTCAAGTTCATCAACACTTGAGAAATCAAAACCCAGAATCCCAAACACTTGCTTCCTTCGATTCTGAAGAACAAATATTCTTCAGTATCCTTTGAATCCAGTTTGGAAAGAAACATAAGACTTGTTTCTTTCCTTCCTTCGAATCCAGCAGTCCAAGCACAGCTGTTGGCCCCCTCTGTCAAATCCAGAACCTTGGACCTCCACTCAAGGTCCCACGCCCATTCAACGCCTCCATCAAGGTAAGTCACTCTTACCCTTGAATTTTTCATTTCATGACATAACATGTAAATAATCTCTTCGTTCGTTTCAAACATGTATATACCACTGTTCCTTCGTTTCCACCCTGTTAACATGTTTTTTAAAAGTTAACCCTTTTGTTTTGCTTGTTGTTTGCCTGAACTAGCTTTAGTTATTAAACTGCTTGAAAGATAAATACTAGCATGGCCTCAGGCCATGTTGTCATTTAATGCTTGAAATGAAAGAAACAGGAAACAGGAAATAGGGAACGAAGCTTCTGACTTCTACCTTCTTTCTCCAGGTCAAACGAAAGAGACAACCAAGAGGAAAACCATGTTGACTTCTAGGCCCAAACGAAAAGCATGCCTTCACTGACTTCCAATCCCTAATCGAAAGGCATTCCCTCACTGACTTCCAGGCCCCAGTCGAAGGATACAACTTGCTGCTGTCTTTGCCCAATCGAAGGACAGGACCTCGCTCATACCAAGGCCCAATCGAAGGACGTGACTTTGCTGTTGTCAGCCCCAATCGAAGGAGGCCAACAATATGCAAATCGAAGGCTGCTCCTGCCCAAATCGAAGGAGCTCATTTTTTACTTCT